AGAAAGAAAGAAAGAAAGAAAGAAAGAAAGAAAGAAAGAAAGAAAAAGTTCAACAGTGATTGGTGCCATGCAACAGACACTCAGCCAGGCCAGCAGAACTGTGATCAGCCTTAAAGGACCAGAGTGACTGTTCCAGGCAGTTGAGACATTTAGGACACAATGAAAGGCCCCTGGCAGCCTCCTGAGGTGAAACTATAAAGGCAATGACAAGAAATGGAGTTGAGGGAATCAAGGACAAGTGTGCTGCTAAGGAGGTTCAGGTCACAGCCATCTCCTAGAGCAACATTCAAAGTAAGCAGCCCTTCCCAGGAAGTGGAGTGGTCTAAAAGAAGACACTAAGAACATTAAAACACCTTGATACACAGAACTGGAACGCTTTAAAATGCTGAGAAACACAAGCCTTTAGAACCCAAGGAAGAGCTTTACTTACATGATGGAATAATGAACTGTGGCTCAGTGTTGCCTGCGTAGCCAAGCTTGGTATACCTAAAAGCACAAAGTCATCAACACAGGTTTAGACGGCAATGCTCTCGACCACATCCCGCTCATGTCTTTCATTATAACCATGCCAAGCCCTAAAATGCCTAGCCTAGAACACTCCCTTGAAATTTAAAAAATAAAAAATAGAGACAGAGAAAAAGAAACAAACTGTACTCACTGAGGGTTATTTCAAAGTAGCTGCAAAGCTTACAGTATCGGCTTGGTAGCAGACTGGAAGTTGAACCTCGTCTGACTCTCCATGTCCTGACTCTCACCAAGCTGCCATACTCTTCTGACCCTCACGAGAACACAAAGAAGATGCAATTGCCCTGGTCCTGCACTGGGTCACTGAAAGGTTAAGCTGCCCAGACTAAGCTGGTGAAATGAGAAATGAGCCCAGGTCTAACCCTGCAGCCAACGCCAGCGAGGGCTCTGTAGAGCACTTCCTTCCTCACTTCCTGATTTTTGGAGCATTAGAGACTGATTACGTAATTTTCTTAAAATGCCATGGCATATGTCTAGACACAGCTCCTGCCGTCTCCTGAGGAGCATCCGATGGGGGCATCTCTTTCCCATCTCAGAAGAAGCCCACTTTCTGTCAAGAAACTCTGGTAGCTTCCAAAAGTCTTTACGAAAACAAATGCCAAAATACTACTTTCTGTTCCAAGAGCATTCGATAATCTCCTAAATATAAAGGGGGGAGGGTGAAACATCACTCAGACCATCTGCTGGAAGGGAGCACGGAAAAACGGTCTTGGGAGCTGAAGATCGGTTACCCCCCCCCCCCCCTCTCTGTGGGGCTGATCACCGCAGTCAGGCAGTCGGCAGCCAGCCTTTGATTACAGTGGGCACAACACTCCCCAGGACTAGAACGAACAATGAATTTGTTCTAATTTACATGTTGTTTCGAGATACTGATATTAAATGCTTCCACTTGATATTTCTAACTCCTCTTATATTATGATTTTTTAAAAATATACTTTAACATATGCTGGCTTTGGTATTTCTGAAAGCATAGTGAGTGAAACAAGCAAGCCAGCTGCCCTTATACCAACCACACCTACTGAACATGCTCCATTGGCTTTTCATGACAGGGGAGGACAAGGCCAGACCCTGAGACTCATAGGCCCCAACAGACCCAGAACAAGGCCCATCTGAGGCCCCAACCAGTCTGCACACTTCAGATCTGGGAACAGGAATTAATAACCAAGTGGATCCATGGTCTCCCGTGTCAGGGATCACAGACCCAAAGGAGAGAAAGTTTCTAGGCCGTCCAGAGCCTGGAGGCCTTGGAGAATTAAGGCAACATGGATTGAGCTTGAGAACCCAAGACAAGTACTGTATGGTGACACAGCCCATAGTCCCAAAACTAGGGAGGCCGAGGCAGGAAAACAGCAAGTTCAAGGCCACAGTGAGAGACTCAAACAAAGACAGCCATCATCCCGACAGGGCCTGATATCATCCTGGAGGCATGCCCTAATGAACTGAGCTACTGGCCCAAGGCTGAAAAGCTTACTGAGCCAATGAGCAGGACAGGTTTCACTAAATCATCAAGTCTAATTATATGTTTTAGAACAAGACAAGTCATTCACTCACCTCCTACTCCCCAAAACTATGCCCTTGCACATAAGTCACTTCAACAAACCCATTCTTCCACACGGTTCACTTATGAGCTCTTGGTGTTTATGGCCCTACCTCTGCTCCCTGGGGCAGTACCTGGGCATGTAGCAAAATTTCCTAAGTACCTGATGATTGCATTCTTGCCAGATGCTGAGCTACCAGGAGCACAACTGATGTTTAATGGGGAGATGTTGAAGGTCATGGGAAGAAAAAGTAATGAAATCAGGAAAAAAAAAAAAATTAGACGCTACCTATCCCATGGGAGAGGACCGACCCCTGATGCTATTAATGTTACTTTGCTACGCTTATAGACAGGAGCCTAGCATAAATTCTCCGAGAGGCTTTACCCAGAAGCTCATGGAAACAGATGCAGAGATCCACAGCCAAACATTAAGACAGAGCTCTGGGAGTCACATGGAAGAGTTGGGGAAAAAATTGAGGGAGCCAGGGGGATCAAAGATACCACAAGAAGACCTACAGAGCCAATTAACTTGGGCCCATGGGGCCTCACAGAGACTGAACCACCAAGCAAAGAGATGGCATGGACTGGTCCTAGGCCCCCTGCACATCTGTAGCAGATGTGCAGCTCTTCATATGGATCCACCAACAACTGGAGTAGGAGCCCTCCCTGACTCTGATGCCTCCCTTTGGATCCTGTTCCCCTAACAGGACTGCCTTGTCTGGCCTCAGTGGGAGAGGATGCGCCTAGTGTACCAGGCCAGGCTGGTACCCATGGGGACATCCCCCTTCTCTGAGGAGGAGAGGGGAAAATGGGGGAGGGGCATATGAAAGGGGGGGACTGGGGGAGAGGAAAGGATGTAATCAGGATGTAAAGTGAATAAATAATTTTTTTAAACATCGGATTTTTATGATCTACTGTTCAGAAGAGAAGATCTATGTATAATGGGTTCAAAATACAGTAATATGTAGGCATTTATTAATAGCAGGTGCTAAGTAACATTCATGTTTGCTATATTTTTAATCAAGCATTTTGTTGTTGTTATTTAAGATGATGCCATTCTGTAGTGGTGCATACCACTTAGGAGTGTGCCCAAGTCCTTAGGAGGCAGAGGCCAGCCTGATTTACACAGTGAAATCTAGGACAGCCAGGGCTACACAGTGAGACCTCATCTCAAAACCAAGCAAACACACATAAAAAGACCATACCCTATGGCACCACATGGCCTGGATTCAAATCCTATCTCTGTTACTTGCCAAATCTGAGGAAACAACTTTACCTCTCTGCATGCTGACTTCCTCACCCCCTTCATTACAGTTGAGGCAATAATACGATATTTATGTTTCTTTTTTTTATTTCTTTTTTAAAACGTTTTTATCAGTTCTTTATGGATTTTACATCATGCACCCCAATGCCACTCATTCCCCCTTCCCTCATACCCATTCTCCACCCTTGCAACCTCCCCTCAACAGAGAGAAAAAAATTCTTTGTGGAAGCTGCAGTGTGTTCCACAGTATGCCCTTCTGTACACACATCTCTGCTTGCAAATGCTCATTGCAATGAGTCATTGGTCTGGTACAAGATCTCTGGCTTCTGCTACTCTGTCTGTCTGTCTGTCTGTCTGCTACTCACTGAGACTCCTCTCTGATACCCTGTTGTTGCGCTGTGTCGTGGAAATCCTGTAGTTTTGGAGCTGTAGGACCAGCCCCTTCGTGCACTTCAGCAGATCCTAGATGAGTAGATATTGGGGTGGGCCAATTCAAAGCTCTGGATCTGGGCCTAAAAGGTATCTGAGATGGTCAGCCCACCAGCTCTCTCACTCTCATGCCCAAGGGTGACTCACCAGCAACCACGCAACCAGGGCCAGCTCTACCATGCTGTCCAGGTGAGGTGTAGAGCAAGCTCTCCCAAGTGTAGCAGCTGGTGAGAAGCATGGCTAACTCTCCCATTCTCATGACCCAGAGGCCAGCTCTCTCACCTGCCATAGGTGTAAAGGAACAAAGGAGGAGGAGAAGGCCTCTCTCCCTCATTGAGGTCACCACCCAGCAGAAAAGAGGCAGGGGTGGCTCTCCTGAGCTAACACCCTCAGGGCCAGCTCTCCCACAACCCTACATCCAGGGCAAGCCCTACTCTGCTGCCCAGGTGAGGTGAAGGGCCTGCTCTCCCGAGTGCTGCAGCAGGTGAGGGACAGGGCCAGCTCTCCTGCTCTCATGACCCTCTTTGGGGCCAGTTCTCCTCCTTGCCTTAGGTAGCAATGGCAAAAGGGAGGGGGGCATCTCTCCCTTGCTAACACCAACTCAGCAGACAAGTGGAGGGGCCAGCTCTCCCATGTTCACACCCTCGGGCCGGCTCGCCCACGTCCCACTACCAGGGTCAGTTGTACTGTGCTGCCCCAGGGGAGGTACAGGGTCCCTTCTCCCAAGTACTGCAGCTGGTGAGACTTTTTTAAATGTTTTATTTATTTCTTTAATGTGGCTCAGCTTTGCCTTAAGCCACAATGGTCACTCTTTGTACAACCAGAGATGCTCTGACTTAAGGACTGGTAAGGATGAAATGGTCCTTAATGGCAACTTTAGTAGACACCAAAGATTCCTAAACAGCTCCATCTCATCTCCCTGTCACAGCAACAAAAGATCAGGTTACAGAAATGGACAAGAACCCTTATGACCCATGCTCCAAACTTCAACCAAAACTCCCATTGCCATTCAGAACATCCGGAGTGACATTTTGAAGTTATACATCCATTAACACCCATAGCCTGAGGCAAACTACCATATTCTTTTTTTTTTTTTTTTTTTTTTTTATTTTATTTTTTGAGACATGGTTTCTCTGTGTAGCCTTGGCTGTCCTGGACTCACTTTGTAGAACAGAGAACCACCTGCCTCTGCCTCCCTGAGTGCTGGGATTACAGGAGCCCATCCGGAGCAGGCGTGGGGTTGATTCCTGTCCAACCCCTGAAATCTCTTCTTGAGAGGGTAGAAGTGGGGACCACTCCCTCCCCTACGCTAAGCCTGCATGTTCTGGTGAAGTCCTGCTTATCCCACCTCTGCCCACATCAGATGAGGCCACATAGTCCTGGCAACTTGAACTTCCCCTCTCCTTATAAGGTCATGTCCAGCAAGTGCCTGGAATTTTTCATGCAAATAAGGCATTCACAGCCTCTTAGCCTCAGCCAATGAGGTACACTCACCCCAAAAGCCTCTACCTACTGCCCCAAAGTTTAAGTAGCCTTTTCTTACCCTGCCAACCCCCCATGCCCAGTTAAATGAGTTGCTCAATGAAGCCTGCTTACCAAGAGCCCTTTCTCATCCCACTCACCTGATGCCTTAAGGTCTCCATCACCCCTGGCCAGCCGGCCGTTCCTGCCTCCATTTCCCTTTCAGGCCACCAGGTCACCAGTCTGATTATAGGCAATCATGCTATCAGG